TTTTTTTTTGTGTATTGTAAAAAATCTAGCAAATATCATGAAATGCATGCAGCTCGGTCTCACCGATCGCAATATTTTTTTTTACGTTTCTTCTTGAAATCTCCCACCTGTTTCGAGTATCGCTTAGGATGTAAAGCAAGATCTGCCTTTGGGCTTATGAAAAAGTTTCCAGTCATTCAACTGCCTTCTTTCAGATACTTGAATGAATAAGCCTAGAAAGCCTTTTTTACTGCTGAGGTCTGGAACTTATTAAATGGTGACGTGTTCTTCCAGATATCCGTGGAGTGAGGATCCGGATGAATCAGAATCACTAATGAAAACGCGAGCGCCGGCATGGTGCGATCGTGTGCTGCTAAATTTACGGGCATTTGAAATTGTTAAACGGGATAAATATGCGAAATACGATAGTTTTGGGAAGGATGTATGCATGGGTGATCATAAGGTCTGCTTTTCCGCGCTTCCGCCGCAATCACTTATTGCTGACTGCACGCTGAAACTCTATGTTCACATAGAACAAATTACAAAGTGCTACTAGAATTTTCATTACTGGCTACTGATGTGGAGCTTTGACATTGCTGAAGTGCAACCGGGTACTGGACTTTCTGTATCGATGAGCTTCTTCATACGACCTGTTTAACGAGCTGTTTCTTCGGGATCCGTTCGAGCAATTGTTTTTTCCCACGTGAGTGCAGTCCACCGACAGACAATATCCATGTGAGTGCAGCCCACCGATAAACAATATCCACGTGTACTACTCGAACCGAACAGCGTGCTCTATCGAAAAGAACGGATTCTCCCGTGGACATAGCACGATTCGCTAGTGCTTAGTGAATTTCCCCTTCTAAACCAAAAGAAAACAGGCATTTCGGGCTCCGCTGACAGGCTCACATTTAGAGCTAAACTTTTTACTGAACGGCTTTTAAAATTGCAGCCGGTAATGTTATCGTTCAATGTGATGCTGTGAAAAAATGTCGATCATTATAAAACAACACCAAACCAGCGCTCTCGTTGCAGAATGTTAGCATTATCATTGCTGCTGCTCCGAGGTTTATCGCCATGCTCTTAACTCGAACCGTATCACTGAATGATGTGTATTATGAGCTACACTTTTACAGTTTGGTGTAATTTTAAAATCTCTGTTTTGAGGGAACATTGTAATATAGTTAATATTACTTCAATTCTAGGCCTGCAAACTTTAGAACTACGACTTGTCTTGAATTTAGAAATGAAAAATTACGAACCAGTGTGAGTGTCGAGTGGGACACTGCAAGCAAACTTTTTGAGCTTACTTTTGAGATATTTTCAGCTGTTAAACTGAGCTAGTACTCTCCTGACTATTTATCTCGTTAAATCACCACCAGGGACGAGTGAAGAGAAAAGCAAGAACCAAAAATCTAGTTCTCACCCGCTCAAAAAGCTTGTCGCCTTTTCGGAAAAAATAGTTAATGTTTTTATCTGTTATGTTTTATATTCTCTTGCTAACTCTTATTGTTGTGCTATTTTAGTACGAAAAATTGTTTCTTGGTGTTTTTTTCCAAAAATTCATTGAAATTTTTACCAACTAAAATTCCTCGGAGTGCCTACATACCAGGCAAAAATCGTGATCCTACTGGCATTTTATATTTATAAGCTTTGTAAGAACAAAATATAATAAACAGCGGCGCACACCACAGGTTAGCTGATACTGTTCAGCGGACAACTGCTGTTAAAAATATTCAGTGCCTTCGTGTTTATTGCTAAAAATGTCTCCTGCGTTAGAATTGGATACATGCTAAAATTATCGGAACGTTCAAACCGGTCAAAAATTTCATGTGTCCGTACGTGAAATCAAGGGACGTTTGGGAGCCAAATCTAAAATTTTCAGCGTTTCATATGAGCAGGGAGCATTCCATAAAGTTCCAGCTCCCTATTTTGTTTGGTTTTGGAGTTGAAAAATTTCCGGCCAAAGAATTCACGTGATCGTAAGTGGAATTTAGGTGCACTTTGGTGATGCACGTAACCTAAAATTTTAGCCCCGTAGCTTTTGTGGTTTCCAAGTTAGTAATTTTCCCTCTAAACCTTCACGCCGCTGTACCTTAATCAGTGAAAGTTGATTTTAAATTTTGCAACGCCGCAAGTGGGCAGGGAGCGTACTTATAAAATTTAACTTCCTAACTCTTTTAGTTCTTTATTTAAAAAAGCGGGAAAAA